CATGGTGGTATGATTTCAGCCAGGATTCTGTGATGGCGATAAAAGGAAACAGGTGTCCGTCCTGTCGCTTCTCGTCTAAGTGACCTATAAGGTCCTGCAGCTTCCACCTCCCGGCACTCTTAGCGGAGGGGTTTAAGCTCCTAGCGTTTAGAAGTAGGAGGGAAGAGAGAAGGGAGTCTGGTGCTGGGGTAGCCTGGGAACACCTAAACTCATCATCGCAGGAGCTGCTTGGGATGGGTAGAACATTTGTCCCGCTGGTTGTGCTGGAGGGTGGCACACTGAGGACGGGGCACTTTGATCCATTTTCTTTTCTAGAGCTGCTAACTTGGCCGCCATCCCCGTGACCAAGTCTCGTAGCTCTAAAAAACCACTCGAACTAGAAGAAGAGTTATAAATAGAGGTTGTCTGCATACCGGATCTCTGATTCCTGTCCCGAGTGGGTTCTTCCTTTTTCTTCTTTCTACAAGAAAGGGGGTGAAACTTGGAACATTCTTTGTTGAGACACTATCCTCTTTCGAGTGCTACCTTGCAAATATCAGGGTGTAAAATAAAATATATATCATTTTATATGAACTCTTACACTTTACATTTACTGAGAATATACATGCATTCTGGAGTTTAAATTATCACTTTTGTCACCATGCCAGCCGCTTTGAAGTCGGCAATTCTTATTTTTAATAATATTGGTTGTTGATATAAGCGGGATATAAATGCTTTATTTCATAAAATTTCATATGACCCCGTTGCCGGTGGGATTTCGTCAAGTTTAAAATACAATATAGATATTATCAGGAATCAGGATATTATCATAATGCTTAAACTCAACTATTTCCTTTCATCATCCTTTCCCGAATTCCTAAAAGTATCCCATAGAAATTTGTTACTAATATATACTGTTGTAACTGTTACAAATAGCTTGAGTTTTCTTTTAATCGGCCGGTGGTAAGAGGTTTACTTGATAGTTTTGTGCCCCAAAATATGTGATGCCTAAGTGTCACCTTTTTTCTCTCTCCCTCACAGCTTGGAGATCATCAGAAATTGAGTTATAATTTTTCAAGCTTTATGTTTAATATTGGATGTATGACCTTAATATTATTAATTTTCTCAAATACCATGATTTAATTTGGGGTACGAAATTCGGCGGTTTTTAAGAAAAAAACCCATATTTTCGTTCCCACATCATTTAGGTCACTAGAATTATTTTGAACATAAACCCAGTTGCTCTCAGGCCTGTTCTCCAGTGCGTTCTTTCGCATTTCGACGTTTATAGTATTTTAAATTTTAATGTAAATTTATGAAATGATTTTTAAAGCAATCCATGATCGAATACTAATGTTCATTTATTCGGTAAATCATACTTATAACTTAGTATATTGATGATATATCGATAAGTCATAATTAAGCAAAATACGTGAATACTTAAATTTTGGTAGTCCGAAAATATGGGATTTTTTTTCGAAAAACCACCGAATTTCGTACCATATAAATCTCGTAACGCACACTCTGCTACTAGAATAGTTATACTGCTTTTATTATACCGTATTTAATTTCTAATATAAAATGTTTTTTGCTCTTTAATTATCAGAATTAATTTTCTTAAAACAGCAATTAATGTTCTCTCGATCAGATATTCGTTAAATAGCATAACATGTTTTTAAATTGAATCGCATTTATAACCTAACGAACAATACTTTTAATTATAAAGTACAACGCGTAGGTGCAACAATATTTGATTTCATACTTTCAGAAACCGGGCGGATCATGTTAATGAGATTCCTCACACAACTGAGCGTTTTCCATCTTATTTATTGCACTGAGATAAATAACGAGGATGATAGTTACCATAGTAACGAGGATGTCTGCAAGCCTGCTCAGGGACCCGCTAAGATGGGATATGTTATCAGCCAGATTGGAGATGTTAACAAGCTTACCCAAACGGACGCTAAATTCATACTATCTAGCATTGTAGAGCACGGAGTTGTAGTGATTAGGAACCAGACCCTAACAAGACAGCAGCAGGTTGACTTCACTTCTAAGTTAGGTGAAATAATCGTCCTACCTCTGTCCTTTGAAGGAAAAGACCCAGAAGTAGGCTTTCCCGCGATCCAGAGAGCGTCAAACTACTGGCATAACGGTACTTGGAAGGGAAAAACACACTGCTTTGGCTGCTACTGGCACAAGGACGGGGACTTCCAAGAAAACGGCTACTTATTGAGCATGCTGTACGCTGATGACGTAGCGGAGAACCGGTCCACAACTAACTTCGTGGACACTTGTGAGACCGTGTCCAGGAAGCTGAGCAAGTCCGCTCTAGAGGAGCTCTCAGAGATAGTGTACACAGTCTCAGTGAGAAGCATCCCAGACTTTGCAAACGGGACCGAGGAGGACTACTCCCTGTACCCGCTGGTGAAGAGACACAGGGTGGTCTACCTGCACCCGGGTAGCGGGAGAAAGTGCGTGTATGTGGACGTGTATATGGTAACGGAGCAGGGGCACAGCCCCGAGTACCTGTCTCAGGTGCTGGAGGAGGTGGTGGGGAGGGGCGAGAAGTATGTGCACTATTGGAGGAGGGGGGATATCGTGATATGGGACAATGAGGCCGTCATGCACAGAGCGGGCACTAGAGGGGTTTCTGGACCAAGTGATAAGACCCCTAGGATACTGCTTCGTACTCAGGCGTGGCTTTAGAGTTGTAGTTACCATAGTTACCATAGTTACCATAGTTACAATAGTTACCATAGTTACCACAGTTACCATAGTTACCATAGTTACCATAGTTACTATAGTTATCATAGTTACCATAGTAACCATAGTTACCATAGTAACCATAGTTACCATAGTAACCATAGTAACCATAGTTACCATATGCATCAAATTCGAAACTTGAATGTAACTCATAATAGTGATCCAAAATAGGCCCAGGAAGTGACCCAGATGACTCCCTTAATGCAACAAACGAGGATAGGGAATAAATAAGCGAATTTAGAATGTTGAATATTCAATATATGTTACATTTTTCACAGCGTTTAAATTTTTGTGATCATATTTATAATTCATTTCATGAATTCAAGCTATTGTGTAAACATCCCCCCCACAGCCCCCCCCCCCCTATTGTGTTAACAGCCCCCCCCCCCCACCTATAGTGTAAACAGCCCCCCCCTATTGTGTAAACAGCCCCCCCGCCCCCCCCCCCCCCCCCCCCCCTATTGTGTAAACAGCCCCCCCCCCCAACAGGGTTGATTTGTTAGATTATACGTGGTATTGTGTTATTAATTAAACCGATTTTATATACAATTATTATAATAGGGTTCTAAAAATGCCAATCCAGCTGGAGTTGCCATAGTTACTATAGTTACCATAGTGACTATAGTTACTACAGCTGGGGGGTTAAACTTGCAGGCCAATGAGCGCACTCTGTAGCAGCGTTCAAATGTTTGTTTAAATTCCATGTATTTTAGCTATTGATCTTTATTTTCTTCGCGATGTATAAGTCTATCAATTCTTTCTCGTGTAATACTTTGTAAAATCAAATTATCGAAAATAACGAATAACTGTAATTTACTAAGTAACCACAAAATAACTGTTAATTATTAAGTAACTACTAAATAACTGTAATTTACTAAGTAACCACTAAATAACTGTAATTTACTAAGTAACTACTAAATAACTGTAATTTACTAAGTAACTACTAAATAACTGTAATTTGCTAAGTAACCACAAAATAACTGTTAATTATTAAGTAACTACTAAATAAATGTAATTTACTAAGTAACCACAAAATAACTGTTAATTATTAAGTAACTACTAAATAACTGTAATTTACTAAGTAACTACTAAATAACTGTAATTTACTAAGTAACTACTAAATAACTGTAATTTACTAAGTAACTACTAAATAACTGTAATTTACTAAGTAACTACTAAATAACTGTAATTTACTAAGTAACTACTAAATAACTGTAATTTACTAAGTAACTACTAAATAATTGTAATTTACTAAGTAACTAATAAATAACTGTAATTTACTAAGTAACTACTAAATAACTGTAATTTACTAAGTAACCACAAAATAACTGTTAATTATTAAGTAACTACTAAATAACTGTAATTTACTAAGTAACCACTAAATAACTGTAATTCACTAAGTAACTAAATAACTGTAATTTACTAAGTAACTACTAAATAACTGTAATTTACTAAGTAACCCCAAAATAACTGTTAAATATTAAGTAACTACTAAATAACTGTAATTTACTAAGTAACCACTAAATAACTGTAATTTACTAAGTAACTACTAAATAACTGTAATTTACTAAGTAACTACTAAATAACTGTAATTTACTAAGTAACTACTAAATAACTGTAATTTACTAAGTAACTACTAAATAACTGTAATTTACTAAGTAACTAATAAATAACTGTAATTTACTAAGTAACTACTAAATAACTGTAATTTACTAAGTAACTACTAAATAACTGTAATTTACTAAGTAACCACAAAATAACTGTTAATTATTAAGTAACTACTAAATAACTGTAATTTACTAAGTAACCACTAAATAACTGTAATTTACTAAGTAACTACTAAATAACTGTAATTTACTAAGTAACTACTAAATAACTGTAATTTACTAAGTAACCACAAAATAACTGTTAATTATTAAGTAACTACTAAATAAATGTAATTTACTAAGTAACCACAAAATAACTGTTAATTATTAAGTAACCACTAAATAACTGTAATTCACTAAGTAACTAAATAACTGTAATTTACTAAGTAACTACTAAATAACTGTAATTTACTAAGTAACCCCAAAATAACTGTTAAATATTAAGTAACTACTAAATAACTGTAATTTACTAAGTAACCACTAAATAACTGTAATTTACTAAGTAACTACTAAATAACTGTAATTTACTAAGTAACTACTAAATAACTGTAATTTACTAAGTAACCACCAAATAACTTAATTTAATGAAACTTGTCAGTAGTGACTGACCTGAGCGGACTGTGCTGAGGAAATACTGTGTGTTGGTGTACCAGGGTCCTCTCCCAGGGATTTGTGCAGTGTTCGCAGCAGGGATACCTGGCAATAGTATCAATAATGGAGGTAATTTCCATTGTTACCATTGTTACCATTGTTACCATAGTTACTCGTTACCATAGTAATTTCATGTTGCAGTCAACGTTTAAGAAAACTTTCCCGTAATTAAAATGTAATTATGAAGCGTTCTCCTAATTCTAAGAATCTAGTATTTTTATTCCTTCACAAAATTTACTTCCTTCTACAGAACTCACGATATGATTAACGCGAATGTCATTTTTGTCTAACCAGACACGTACAAAAATCATTTGCTACAGTTTTATGTATTTTCATTTCATTCCAGTCATATGATACAGTAGCCGTAAACTCAATTTGAAGTTTCTTGTTAAATAATTTTAAAACGCAGCTCTCCGGCTTTTCGTTTCTCGCTCAAATTTCTTTGCATAATATCTTTGTTATGCCATTTTACCAGTTTATTCTCCTCCTCCTGCTGCCCACCCTACTAGACTCCGCAAACGTTTTGGTGATATCAGGACTCCGTGGTTCCCACCTGTATATCACTACTGAAGTGGCCGGTAAATTAGTGGAGTTTGGGCACAATGTAACCGTCTTGACGGCCCATGAAGATCCTAGAGTTGACTTTAGTGACAGAAACTTTGGTTTTACAACTTATGCTGATGATAGAGACCCCGGAGGTAGGGAATTCTTTACAAGATGGGAGAGAGCTATAGACAGAACTCTCACACTGCCCTCAGAGGACATGATAGTTGATCTTCTTGAACAAGTTGAGGATGTCTTCACAGAGTTTCATAAGCTCGCAATATCGTATTACACCGGGGATAAGTTTTCGGAATTACTCCACGAGGGCAAGTTTGATCTTATCGTTCTGGAACAAAGTGAGATGTTGGGAGCAAGTCCTAAACTAGTGCACCTGGATATACCGATACTGGGACTTTACTGCGTCTCAGAAATGAAGTAAGTAGATTTATATCATAAATAACATTATCAATATTTACTTATCTAAAATTATATAAGATTAAGATACGATTAAATATTTGTCTCTTTATCTTATAACATCTTCAGGGGCCCGAGAGATTTCCAATCTTTACCAGGGTTACATAACAGCGAAATTGCTTCAATGAACGAAGTCAATGAGAGTCCTCCAACCCTAGCTGATAGGTGGAAGACTGTATGGAGGTTAGTCAGCTAGTTACCATAGTTACCATAGTTACCATAGTTACCATAGTTACCATAGTTACCATAGCTTATATGGAGGTTAGTCAGCTAGTTACCATAGTTACCATAGTTACCATAGCTTATATGGAGGTTAGTCAGCTAGTTACCATAGTTACCATAGTTACCATAGTTACCATAGTTACCATAGTTACCATAGTTACCATAGTTACCATAGCTTATATGGAGGTTAGTCAGCTAGTTACCATAGTTACCATAGTTACCATAGCTTATATGGAGGTTAGTCAGCTAGTTACCATAGTTACCATAGTTACCATAGCTTATATGGAGAGTAGGCAGCTAGTTACCATAGTTACCATAGTTACCATAGTTACCATAGTTACCATAGTTACCATAGTTACCATAGCTTATATGGAGGTTAGTCAGCTAGTTACCATAGTTACCATAGTTACCATAGTTACCATAGTTACCATAGTTACCATAGTTACCATAGCTTATATGGAGAGTAGGCAGCTAGTTACCATAGTTACCATAGTTACCATAGCTTATATGGAGGTTAGTCAGCTAGTTACCATAGTTACCATAGTTACCATAGTTACCATAGTTACCATAGTTACCATAGTTACCATAGTTACCATAGCTTATATGGAGGTTAGTCAGCTAGTTACCATAGTTACCATAGTTACCATAGCTTATATGGAGGTTAGTCAGCTAGTTACCATAGTTACCATAGTTACCATAGCTTATATGGAGAGTAGGCAGCTAGTTACCATAGTTACCATAGTTACCATAGTTACCATAGTTACCATAGTTACCATAGTTACCATAGCTTATATGGAGAGTAGGCAGCTAGTTACCATAGTTACCATAGTTACCATAGTTACCATAGTTACCATAGTTACCATAGTTACCATAGCTTATATGGAGGTTAGTTACCATAGTTACCATAGTTACCATAGCTTATATGGAGGTTAGTCAGCTAGTAGAGGAATTGATAAAAATACACTTTTGATACTTTTAAAATCAGCAACAACAGGTTTAGTTGTCAGTTGGTGATTTGAGCGATAAATTTTTTTCAATCTTGATATTTTCAGACAAGTTCGACTCTATGCCCAGATGTATCCCGTTCTTTCGAACCTTTTTAAAGAAGAAATGGAGAAAACGGGACTGTCTATAAACGACTACTACCTGTCTCTGTTTGATATTATCTTAGTGAACGACCATCCGGCATTTTCCTTCCCCTACCTAACCCCACCTAACACATTCTACCTCGGACCACTCCAATTGATAGACCGGGTCATCAGCCCTCTCCCGGACCTTTACAGTGAGTTTATAAGCAACTGTCCGTACCCTCACGTGGTGTATTTATCATTCGGAACCTACTTCCAGGGTATCACTCAGCTTTCCAAATCGGAGGATATCATTCGCACCCTAGCTAAGATGAAGTTTTGCGTGATCGTGAAAACGAACTTGGACATTGCAGAGCAGTACCACGTGACAAAGACACAGTTCCTGTCCCAGAAATGGATTCCACAGAAAGATCTGCTTGGCAGCGGCAAGATCCTCTTCTTCATCTCTCACTGTGGTAATAACGGCAGGATGGAGAGTATCTATTACAATGTGCCTCTGTTGTGTATCCCGCTCTTTGCTGATCAGTACCACAACGCTAGGCTGGTACGGAGCAGAGAGTTCGGAGTGTGTTTGACCAGGGAGGAACTCAGTACGGCGAGCCTGGAGCAAGCACTGGACGTCATGGTGGAGAGGAGAACTGTTCATGTGGAGAATATGAGGGAGGCGGTGCGGATTGCTGTCAATGATCCTGGAGCAGGGACCGATGTTTTGAGGTTTTACTCCGATCTCCTCATTAAGAATAAAAATGCTGAATTTTTGATCAACAGAATTGTTGAAAAACAATGGTCTTATGAAATTTTGAATCTTGATTTTCTATTATTGGCATTTTTAGCTTTAGCCGGAACTGCCCTCTTTTTCATAACCTGTATCTATAAGTGTATTCGGTATTGCTGTCGTAACAGGAAGTCTAAAAGTAAATGTGAGTGATTCGATTATAGCTTTATAGTATCTTGGCATAATATTTGCACACTACGATTACTATGTTAATTTCCGCCATTGAAAATGAAGTTGTTGATTATCTTTTTATTATTTTATTTATTTTATTATTTTATTTATTCACTTCACGTTTTCTTATATGATTTTTTTAAATGTAACAAAAAGTACTCACGATATTGTTATCAGACTGCAGGGCCACCAGCTCTGATTTAGGGTGTTTAATGTGTTGTAACAGTAGTTTCAGCTCCCGGGTACCCATACTTTGAGAGACGGTTCTCTCTAGGATCCTGTGTATCATCTGAGATTTTATCAAGATGTTATCTTCAGGGCTTCCGATTTCAATTTACATGAAACAACAATGTGCGCTACTAAATACCAAGATATTATATTATCCAAGTACAATAGTGAAGGGGGTTCAGTGGATTGCCCCTGGAAAAGTATAGAAAATATCTCAAAATATGATTGACTAACCAGTCCCAACTCGGAGCAGGAGGAAATTGAGTCGGAGTATTTCTCTAGCAGCATGAGAGGGAGCCCCTGAAAACATATTCTCTTACAACAGGGTGTCAGAGTCATTTACGTCATCTTATTTAATTTAAAATGAGCTGAAGTAGACAGGTGTAAAGTATTTTTATTATCACAAATCATTCCGGACCGTATCTGTCTGAGCGTGCAATAATTCCAGATATATGAAACATGACTCCCTCGCCTTCATACCACAATCAAATAAAACTTACCGCAGATTGTAGGAGGTAGCCGCATGACTTACACAGTATCTCCAATCTTCCGAACATTTTCAACAGGGCTCCGTCACTGTAATTAGTGTAACCATATTGTTTAATTGTGGAGGAACCAAACATTTAGTCGAGTCCTTATCTTTTTAGTCAATCAATTTCAAATAGATAAACTCAGTAATATTTCAAATTTTCCCAAGCTTCGTATTATTATTAAAAACTAGTGTACTAATTTGTCTACAAAATCCTGGATAACAAATTGCCTGGAATTTTACCATCCCAGATTTGTCGAATCGCTCAAGAATTCAATTTTCTACTCTAAACTCTGAGCAGATGTGGGTTGGTTCACGAAACATGTCATGCGAGGTTAATGATAGTGTTTCCGGCCGAGAGCCAGCTATGTATAAATAAAACACATGATAAGCGCGCGCAAATGGTTACAGTGCGCACTTTCAGGAGTGCTTGTTTTGCTAAAATGTCATCGCGCGTTACGACTATGGAGGTCTTATCATGTCTAAATTGACTTTTTGTGTCCATGTCGCTGAAATAGCCAATTATCAAGATAATCTCGCCAAATAAGGAGTCATGCTTCCAGTGGGTCTTGAGTGGTGGGCCCTAACACCGCATTCTTTCCATTCATTTAGGAATTAGTCAACTAATACTGCCGGTCGTGAATAACCTTCCGCCTAATCGAAATGGCACTGGTTGGACACGCCGTGAGTTTAACTGAGGATGATGACCACGCCCTCTCTATGATTTACAGAATAGGTATAAGCTATTCGCAGGATAATTAAATTTAAAAATGTAATTTGCAGAAAATGCTGACTAACCAAGAGGTTATCTGAGAGTAACAAGCCATCCCTTTGTAAATCTCAACTAGTAGCTCGGGGTGGATTATCTCTATCTTGCTCTCTTCTATCTGAAATACAAGTAAATTATAATATATATCTTTTTAGACAAATGTAAATGAAGAAATGCTTTTAATTCCGCACTTTAATGAATGCACAATTTGATTTGTCTATGAATGCATTATTGAAAATATTCCATCGCTGCAATAAGACTAAGAGTAAGACAAAAGGCAGCAATTACGAAACCCGTATATAAACTACAGATGATTCCTTGGGGAGTTGAAAGAATTCACACCTACACCAGTGCTGTTAACACTCGTAAATACATTATACCACATGTCAACACTCGACATTAGACTCATTGCCAATATTAGGAGATATTAGGAGATATTAGGAGATATTAGGAGATATTAGGAGATATTAGGAGATATTAGGAGATATTAGGAGATATTAGGAGATATTAGGAGATATTAGGAGATATTAGGAGATATCAGGAGATATGAGGAGATATTAGGAGATATTAGGAGATATTAGGAGATATTAGGAGATATGAGGAGATATTAGGAGATATTAGGAGATATGAGGAGATATTAGGAGATATTAGGAGATATGAGGAGATATTAGGAGATATTAGGAGATATTAGGAGATATTAGGAGATATTAGGAGATATTAGGAGATATTAGGAGATATTAGGAGATATTAGGAGATATTAGGAGATATTAGGAGATATTAGGAGATATGAGGAGATATTAGGAGATATTAGGAGATATGAGGAGATATTAGGAGATATTAGGAGATATTAGGAGATATCAGGAGATATTAGGAGATATTAGGAGATATTAGGAGATATTAGGAAATATCAGGAGATATTAGGAGATATTAGGAGATATTAGGAGATATTAGGAGATATTAGGAGATATTAGGAGATATTAGGAAATATCAGGAGATATTAGGAGATATTAGGAGATATTAGGAGATATTAGGAAATATCAGGAGATATTAGGAGATATTAGGAGATATTAGGAGATATTAGGAGATATTAGGAGATATTAGGAGATATTAGGAGATATTAGGAAATATCAGGAGATATGAGGAGATATTAGGAAATATCAGGAGATATTAGGAGATATTAGGAGATATTAGGAGATATTAGGAAATATCAGGAGATATTAGGAGATATTAGGAGATATTAGGAGATATTAGGAGATATTAGGAGATATTAGGAAATATCAGGAGATATTAGGAGATATTAGGAGATATTAGGAGATATTAGGAGATATCAGGATATGTTCTCTGGACCTGTGGCGTAACGTTGCCATTTGGTGTGGTTTAGAATTCAGCCTGAAATATGCCCCGACTTCAACAATTCATATAAACTTAAATTATAGTTGCATCATGACTAAAATAAAGTTGTCACCCCCCGAAAGTACGTTAGTGTTTGAGTCATGCAGCTCTCACAGCATCGCAGTGTTCGCAGAGTACCCAATCAATCCATCAGCAGTGCTCCTTCATAAATACTGCTAAAGTGCTAAATGAAATGCTTGATATGCCTTATTTGGTATAACTAGCACCCCCCCGGATTGGTAAATAGAGCCACTTCCAAGTACCAGTAACGCCCTTAATAAGGGGCTACAGATGATAGGGTAATGGATTTTATCTGGATATGTAAGAGAAACTGTTTGAAAGAGAAAGAGAAACTGTTTGAATGTTTGGTGTTTTTATTTGGTTGACCACCGGACCACGATCAGTTATTTGGTAAGCAACACGAATCTAGATAATATTGTAGTATCGGACAGTACCAGTGACCCGTGTGTGAGTGCTATTGTTCGTTTACTGATTGGTTATTCTTTGTCACGTGTGACAATACAGGCTTTACATATGTACGTTCTTCATTCATATATATATATGATACACTTAGCTAGTTGAATATTGATAAATATTGATATAAACAAATTTAAATATCATAAATATAGTCATTAATGATTATAAACATTAATATAATATATAATGTTTATAAATAACAATAAAGAGACCACAAAGGGCAAAATATGTACCCTTCTTTGTTGATTTGAGATGAGAGAACATATCTATTTCAATATCTACTATCATCCTGTGTACTGAGGTACTGTGATGTAACCATGGTAACTCTCAAATGTGATGTAACCATGGTAACTCTCAAATGTGATGTAACCATGGTAACTCTCAAATGTGATGTAACCATGGTAACTCTCAAATGTGATGTAACCATGGTAACTCTCAAATGTGATGTAACCATGGTAACTCTCAAATGTGATGTAACCATGGTAACTCTCAAATGTGATGTAACCATGGTAACGCTCAAATGTGATGTAACCATGGTAACGCTCAAATATGATGTAACCATGGTAACGCTCAAATGTGATGTAACCATGGTAACGCTCAAATGTGATGTAACCATGGTAACTCTTAAATGTGATGTAACCATGGTAACTCTCAAATGTGATGTAATCATGGTAACTCTCAAATGTGATGTAACCATGGTAACTCTCAAATGTGATGTAACCATGGTAACTCTCAAATGTGATGTAACCATGGTAACGCTCAAATGTAGTAACCTAATAAGGTGTGTTACTTACGTCGATGAGATTTTTGTGTTGGTCACAGCACAGCTCTATCATGTTCATGAGTACTTCCACGTTGGACGGCAACTCCATAACACTGAAACAAATTATGTAATTATTCAATTACTGATTACCCTAATTAGTTGGCTTAGTTTACATTAAAGTGCTCAACTTTCAGCAGAAGCATTTGAAATTGTTGGATTTAAAATATTTATACAACTACTCCTTAGGGCCCAAAATTCTTAATTAATAACAAATAAAAATAAACGCAAGAGTTACCTTGAGTTATTGGTTGAGTTATTAGTTACCTTGAGTTATTGGTTGAGTTATTAGTTACCTTGAGTTATTGGTTGAGTTATTAGTTACCTTGAGTTATTAGTTGAGTTATTAATTACCTTGAGTTATTGGTTGAGTTATTAGTTACCTTGAGTTATTAGTTGAGTTATTAATTACCTTGAGTTATTGGTTGAGTTATTAGTTACCTTGAGTTATTAGTTGAGTTATTAATTACCTTGAGTTATTGGTTGAGTTATTAGTTACCTTGAGTTATTGGTTGAGTTATTAGTTACCTTGAGTTATTAGTTGAGTTATTAATTACCTTGAGTTATTGGTTGAGTTATTAGTTACCTTGAGTTATTGGTTGAGTTATTAGTTACCTTGAGTTATTAGTTGAGTTATTAATTACCTTGAGTTATTGGTTGAGTTATTAGTTACCTTGAGTTATTAGTTGAGTTATTAATTACCTTGAGTTATTGGTTGAGTTATTAGTTACCTTGAGTTATTAGTTGAGTTATTAGTTACCTTGAGTTATTGGTTGAGTTATTAGTTACCTTGAGTTATTAGTTGAGTTATTAATTACCTTGAGTTATTGGTTGAGTTATTAATTACCTTGAGTTATTAGTTGAGTTATTAATTACCTTGAGTTATTAGTTGAGTTATTAGTTACCTTGAGTTATTAGTTGAGTTAGCTTGTTTTACTGTTGGGAAGAGGATGGAGATGAGGAGGTGATAACACAGACTTAACTTCTCATTATCACACGACCTGGGGAAGAGTAGAGTGTTACACGTGACTACCTTATTAGGAGCGTTGTGACATTACAACATCACGTGACAACATCACGTGAGGGCGAATCAGATCACAACACATAAAGTAGTAGTAGTAGATAATAGTGACTTATAACAGGATTATCCGTGTTGATTTTGGCAACATGCCATCAACCAGAGCAAAACATCACTCCATTAAATGGAGCACGTTATATTGTCATGTGACATTACATGTGACATTACATGTGACATTACATGTGACATAACAATATGTGACGTTACATGTAATCTGTATAGTTTCCAATTCAAATAATGTGGCAGTATTATAAGTAGATTTTAACGAGGATTGAAGGGTATCAGCTGCTACTGATACTACTGATACTACTGATACTACAGATAGAGGTCCAGTACCAGGAACTGTTGGCACTACTGTAATTCTCAAGTTCCTGTAACAAATACCCCTGACAATACTATTAATGGCGAGAACACGATACGGTCTACACTCTACACTCTACACCTCTTATCACCACTGATAACTGTTAAGGTTCGATTGTACTTAATAATTTGTTAATAAAAGAAATGAAATGTTCTCTTATCAAATCTAAAGATCTAATACCTTTAATATAATACACTGATAGCAAATTACGCAACTAACTTGAAACACTAAAAACGCACCTGTACACCCCAAGAATAAGCTTAGCGTAGTCCATGAACAGGGCAGTGTACATCTTTATCAGAGTGGTCTTATCATTGTCGGAGATGGTCTTATCAGCAGTCACCAGGCCTTCGTCATCCTCGTCCAGAGATAAGCCTAGTACCTGATATACATTATACAATATGAGTGTGCGGTTTAATAATGACCCTTCAATGACCCTTTTACCAAATTCTCCCACCTTCTACCACCTTCTACCACCTTCTACAACCTTCACCAAACGTTGGGTGTCCCACATCCTAAACCGCTATAGTATTATATATTACAAGTGTAACCCAGCCTTCGGCCGGGATTGTACTGCCGCAGTAAAAAAGGGTAGGAGTAATTACCCGCTGATTCAAAACCCGCATTAGGTGAGCAATTCTATTCGGAGTATCCTCACGAATCCAATAGTATAATCCAATAATCTCATAATCAGTTCTTTCTCGTGGATAATCAAGTCATTATTAGGCACCACATTCCATGATCATAAGGTCCGAACACCGACTATTACACCTTATCACTCCCGTCTTGAACCACTTTCCATTTTTATTTAAATCGTTTTAGAAATTAACCCTTGTTACCTCCGCACCACACCTGCCTATTATATTTGAAAACACGCATAACATTGTCGATGAAAGTATGAACTCTCTCTGTAGTCCAAACAGACCCTGCAAACAGTGCCCCCTTCCCTAATAAGATTATAGTATAACATGACAGCGAATCTTACCCCGCTAACACAATTATGGTTATTACTTATGCAGCTACATATATGCAGAGAGAGTGAGCCCCGTAACTCTTACCGTTTTCTTGATTAAGCTGCTCAAGCCATTGGGGCCATTTTATGTCACATTTTTGGTACAAAACCATCAATTAAACCACTAACCACCGGCCTATTTTTTAAAAATTTTCTTATTGGCTTCTTCAAAGTTTTGTCGGTACTTTACCGAAAAAACCAGTCCCGTAACTCTTACCGTTTTTTAATATAACCGCTCGGAAATTTCCCGCACACACACACACACACACACACACACACACACACACACACACACACACACACACACACACACACACACACACACACACACACACACACACACACACACACACACACACACACACACACACACACACACACACACACACACACACACACACACACACACACACACACACACACACACACACACACACACACACACACACACACACACACACACACACACACACACACACACACAAACACACACACACACACACACACACACACACACACACACACACACACACACACACACACACACACACACACACACACACACACACATACGGATTTCTTGAGATTATTAAGGTTATGATCCTGGACCCACCCCATGTGGCAAGAACATAGTATATGAATAATCGGTATGTGATTTAGGGGCATCCCGAACTGTAAGAATCTTAGGTTTGTCTTTTGATAATACTCAGAGGCTAGGGGGGGGGGGTGGGGCTTTGTAATTTCTAGTGTAATTTCTAGTGTAATTTCTAGTGTAATTTCTAGTGTAATTTCTAGTGTAATTTCTAGTGTAATTTCTATAAAATTTTGTGTTGAGTTTACAGAGGGGGGAGGGGTCAAAAACTTCCAAAATATGGGTTATATTATATAACTATGTGATATTATGTGAACAATCCCTTATAACTTTATAACTGCAGATCGCTGTTACTTTACATAATTTTCGTGCCAAAACTGCAGGTTATGGGTAGTTTTCCAATTTACAATCCAGCAGAAATATGTGGATTAATGTGATAGATTGCTCAGGAGTAAGCATATATAATAATGCGAGTGGTTAAGTGATTATTTATTCTAATAAAGTTAAATAAGGAGGTATGTGATTCCCCTAATTAACAAAAAGATCTCACAAAAGAACAGCTCGTCAAATCTTGCTTTGAGAAATTTATGTAAATGGTTGACAAATTATATTCAAGATATTGTGAAGATGTCAAATTATGATTTGTGACACATTGACCATTGTGCAACTGTTGCGTAAGTGATGCTCAACAAGGTTCTGTCAAATTCGTATTTGGTGTTTTTCAGCACAAAAAAGATTAATTATAAAAACAAAATACGCAACAAACTTTAAAACAAAACTATAAACAGGTACCAACTTAATAAGGAAGCACTTCTAAAACCATCAGTGACAGAATGTTAAACCAACGAACCTGGACAGTGCTGTCTTCCTGTGCTTCCCCGATGAACGCGTACAGTACAGCCAGATGATCTGCGAATTGAGAGATGGAGGCGTGGAACTGCGTGAGGTGGAAAGATTGGTTGTGCGCGCACCGCAGCAGCACCGTGATAACGTCCTGGTACAACCTGCATTTCTCATCCTCTTCTTCTAACTGGGGGAGGGAAGTAGTGTTACAGTGGTGTTACAGTGGTGTTACAGTGGTGTTACAGTGGTAGCACCTGCATTTCTCATCGTCTTCTTCTAACTGGGGAGGGAAGTAGTGTTACAGTGGTGTTACAGTGGTGTTACAGTAGTGTTACAGTGATGTTACAGTGGTGTTACAGTGGTGTTACAGTGGTGTTACAATGGTGTTACAGTGGTGTTACAGTGGTGTTACAGTGGTGTTACAGTGGTGTTACAGTGGTGTTACAGTGGTGTTACAGTGGTGTTACAGTGGTGTTACAGTGGTAACACCTGCATTTCTCATCGTCTTCTTCTAACTGGGGGAGGGAAACTCGTTACAGACACAAACGTACAGGTTACACAAGGGAGACACTGTCTGCAACATTGTGCATTGTTTACTAAGCACCTTGCATACTTAGCACTTAGTGACTGTTACTAAGCACCTTGCATACTTAGCACTTAGTGACTGTTACTAAGCACCTTGCATACTTAGCACTTAGTGACTGTTACTAAGCACCTTGCATACTTAGCACTTAGTGACTGTTACTAAGCACCTTGCATACTTAGCACTTAGTGACTGTTACTGATCCTGCCTCTTCCGGGGTGTTACAGTAATAGTAGTAATTAGCGGGATCTAGACAGAGACCACCTCATGTTAGAGCTTCTAGACTTATCCTTCTCAGCTATCACTTATAGTATAGAAGGAGCACGGTGCAGTTTGCTGTGCACACAATTGTAATGTCAGAGCACGTCATGTCAACATGTGCTCTCTAATAAATGGTGAGTATTGAGTCACATATTGTTGTGTTAGTGATTCTTTAACATATTTGTTACATTTATAAAGTTATTTAATTTGTACCAAATTTTACAATAAATCAAAATCAGTATATTTTATAAAACACCCTGTTTGCAGTATGCACAGTATGCACAGTATGCACAGTATGCACAGTATGCACAGTATGCACAGTATGCAAAGTATGCACATTATGCACTAGTATGCACAGTATACATAGTATGAACACACAGCGCTTACTAAGCTACTTTACTGTTATACCATATA